CTCCTTCTTGTAACTGCTGGTGGGGGAGTTTTTTGTCTCCAGTCAAGGATATTTGGAGCTTGGAAGCAAAGCGAAGGAATAAAAGGGGCTTCACCTGTTTTTTGTGACTGTGTTTATTTTGTATCCCACCCTGGGTCATCACACACATTGTTTCTTGCCTTGCCTTCTGGTGCTTTGGAAAATAAGTTGACCCCTTCTTCTTTGGGGCAGCCCTTCAAATATTGGAAGACTGCTATCCCGTCTTCCCTAGTCCTTCTTATTATTAAAGTAGACATACCCAACCGTTCTTCGTATGTTTTAACCTCCAGTTCCCTAATCATCTTCGTTGCTCTTCTCTGACTTTTTCTAGAGTCTCAACATCTTTGTTTTTATCGTGGTAATCAAAACTGGATGCACTATTCCACGTGTGGCCTTACCTAGGTATTTGCTGTGCTATTTTAGCAACAAGAAAGGTTTTGACATTTTGATCTGTTGTCCACGAAAGCAGTTTTCCACTTTTCCTTTCATACCAACTTCATCCCTTTCTCTCCAAGATTCCAGGTAAGGAGGACCCAACGCAAACCTGACTTAACTGATCGACTTAAATCAGTTTCATTGGACCTTCACCTGCGGACCTGATTTTTGGCTCCTGACACGTCCTTCTCTTCCATATTTTTTTTTTCCCAATCGTCCAAGTCATGAATAAGGGACACAAAATTTAAGATGCTGGTGTTCAAGTCGCCTTCTCCCTTTCCCTCTCCCTTTCTTTCTGAGTTTGTGCTTATTTATGGCAATCTTATATATTTTTTACAATTCTGTAAGATGGTCTGGCACATGTTCAGATGGAGAGAAATACATACTTTACATTAAAAAAAATAATACAATCTTTGATGGAAGGAATTCCCCCTTCTCCCACATAGCTTGGCTTGCTAATTTGGCTCACCCCTCTTGTCAGTTTTTCTTTCTCTAAAACATGCATTTTCTTTTTTTAAAGTCACCTGACACTCTGCAGACAGCCTGATTTAATTTAGTTCCAGCCTTTTTAAAAAAATATATATAATAAGCTACAACTTTGGCCCACCTCTAATTTGTAAGAGACAGGCAGAAAACCACGAAGTTCAGACCTTACAGTGCAACCACCAGTTAGAAATATTCTCTTCTATCGTTGTTGTTTTGTTTTTTCATCCTGTCTGGAAAGGCTAAAAATCCAAGTTCTGGAATGCAAAATCCATGTGTTCCATCACCAAATCTTCTCCAAAGATCATCATGAAATGTTATATGGACTGTTCCCTAGTATGATTTGATTGCTTATTTGTACCCTATGACTATTATTAAGTGTTGTACCTTATGATTCTGGACTCTTGACAAATGTATCTTTTCTTTTATGTATACTGAGAACATTTGCACCAAGACAAATTCCTTGTGTGTCCTTCCTCCTCTCTGTGGCAGCCCCTCAAATATTGGAAGACTGCTATCATGTCTCCCCTGGTCCTTCTCTTCCCTAGACTAGCCAAGCCCAGTTCCTGCAACCATTCGTTGTATGTTTTAGCCTCCAGTCCCCTCATCATCCTGGTTGCTCTTCTCTGTACTATTTCTAGAGTCTCAACATCTTTTTTATAATGTGGTGACCAAAACTGGATGCTAGGTGTGGCCTTACTAAGGCTTTATAGAGTGGTATTAGTACTTCCCTTGATCTTGATTGTATCTCTCTGTTAATACAACAGAAAGAGAGAGACAGAGAAAGGAAGGGAGAGAGAGGGAGGGTGGGAGGGAAGGGAGCAAGGGAGGGAAAAAGGGAGGGAAGGAGGGAGAGAGAGAGAGAGAGAGAGAGAGAGAGAGAGAGAAAGAAAGAAAGAAAGAAAGAAAGAAAGAAAGAAAGAAAGAAAGAAAGAAAGAAAGAAAGAAAGAAAGAAAGAAAGAAAGAAAGAAAGAAAGAAAGCAGAGATGGGCCTTTTTGAGATGGTCTCTGGTGGGCTTGATTTATTGGGGTGCTTTTTAAATCACAAACCAGCTGTGCGCCTCCTTCCTTTCCAAATTGGATAAAAGGATATGCCATCAATTTGAGCACTCTCCCAAAAATCACATACACACACACACAGGATTGCTTCCCCCCCCCACCCCGCCCGCCCGTTCCCTCCCCACCCCACTTTTTCCATATTTCATTACCAATAAGATTGCTGAAATATTTGCTTGCATTTAGCTGTCATTCCCTGTGAAGACACTATTTTACGGGGGTGGGGAGGTTCACTCTTTTACCCCTTCCAATAAAAGGAGGGAGTGAAGGGGTCAGAATTGGACTATTTTTATATAGTGTACAGCCGTGACTATTCTATTGTTTCTCCTTCCTTCCTTCCTTCCTTCCTTCCTTCCTTCCTTCCTTCCTTCCTTCCTTCTTTCTTCCCTTCCCTTTCTTCTTTCTTTCCTTTCCTTTCCTCCCTCCCTTCTTTCTTTCCTTCTTTCTCTTTTCCTTTCTTCCTTTCTTCTTTGCTTTGCTTTCCTTTCTTCTTTCTTTTTTCCTTCCTTCTTTCTTTCCTTTACTTCCTTCTTTCTTTCCTTTCCTCCCTTCTTTCCTTCTTCCTTTCTCCTTCCTTCTTTTCCTTCCTTCTTCTTTCCTTCCTTCCTTCCCTCCTTCCCTCCCTCCCTCCCTCCTTCCCTTCTTTCTTTCTCTCTTTCCTTCTTCCTTTCTCCTACCTTCTTTTCCTTCCTTTTTCCTTCCTTCCTTCCTTCCTTCCTTCCTTCCTTCCTTCCTTCCTTCCTTCTTTCCTTCCTTCTCTCCCTCCCTCCCTCCTTGATAACATCTCACGGTTGTCCACAACGGGGTCATCATTTCCTCCCTTTCTTTTTAAACGTTCCAAATAATCAAAACGGAAGATTTTGTTGCGGTGGAAATCAAGAATGAAAGCCGAGACCAAATAATACACGAAGGCTCAACCCGAAGGGGAAGGGGTGGGCGGATGGGTATCCCTCCCCTTTTTAGCCTCTCATGCCTGAGAGGTAGAAAAATGTTTCCCCCGGTCTGAGGCATGTAGGAAGACGTCCCCAGGGTTCATCCATTGCTAACCTGAGCCCTGTTTTTTACATTGCTTTGAAGGCCGTTTCCTTATGGAAAAAACAGGACTGAAATACACACACATATATAAGTATCTGAGTACAAAGAGGAGATGGATAATATGTGAAGGAATGCAGAATTCTGGAGGAATGAAAAAAAGCCCCAGCAGAGGTGGGGAATAATAGCTGATCCTATTGACAATCTCTTCCTTCTGTTGGAATTGTGAGAGGGCTGAACATTGGACACAGCTAGCTTTCTTTCTTTCTTTCTTTCTTTCTTTCTTTCTTTCTTTCTTTCTTTCTTTCTTTCTTTCTTTCTTT